CTGGCTGGCCCCACCCCCTGGTCCAATGCCCGGTCCAGGAGACAATTTGCATATTAACCTTTTATTATATAGGATGTATTTATGTGCTGTAAAGTACCATACACATTTTAATTAACCACCAAATTCTTTGTGGAATAAGGCTGGCTCTATAATTTAAAAGTCAGTGTGGTTATGATTATGGTTTTGTTTTGTTTTGTTAATCCTCACCCAAGGATACTTTTCCATTGATTTTTAGAGAGAGTGGAAGGGAAGAGGCACAGAGAGAGAAACTTTGTTGAGAGAGAAACATTGTTGTGAGAGACACATCGATTAGTTGCCTCCCACACATGGGATCAAGCCTGCAACCGAGGTACATACCCTTCCCCAGAATTGAACCCAGGATCCTTTAATCCACAGCCCAACACTCTATCCACTGAGCCAAACCAGCTAGGGCATGATTATGATGTGTATTTTTAAATCCTCACCCATGGATATGTTTATTGATTTTAGAGAGAGGAAGGGGGAGAGAGAGAGAGAGAAACATGCATATGAGAGAGAAACATCGACTGGTTGCCTCTTATAAGTGCCCCAACTGAGAAAGAACCTGAAACCTAGGTATGTGCCCTGACTAGGAATCGAACCCGTGACCTTTTGGTGTACGGACGATGCTCCAACCAACTGAGCCAGAGCAGCCAGGGCTAGGATTATGGTTAGACAACTAGTGTTTGGTTAGTTTTCACAAAAGCGTTGCATATCTCTGAAGGACACATCAAAAGATGATTCTAAAAGCCAGTCACAGCAGATACTGCCACTTGGTCCTTCGGAGATGCAGACCCTGCAGTGCTCCCCTCGCTCAGGGGGACATTCTAGCCTGGCAACTCACCAGCGGGGCACACGAGGGTCAGGCTGCCGATATCCGACGGGTAGTAAGCAGCGTACACGCCGGCCACATTGCCGCCCATGGAGGTGCCCATCAGGTGGAACGGTTTTTTGTTCAGCTTGAGGCATTCCACAAACTGGAAGGAAAATGAGAAGGGGGGTTGGTTATGCAGCTGTAGACAGTGGCACTTGTGATCGCAGAGCAAACAACTTCCATTGCCTCTGGGGACAAACGAAAAGCATATTGATGAAAGGGGGCCGGAACCTCTCCTGGACCCGTTATCCAGATGGACCCGAGGCAGGCAGGCACTCACCTTTACCTGGCACAAGTGACTGAGAGGTCATTTCTGAGTATAAAACCAAAAAAGATTCTCCTAATTCCGAGTCAGTCTCTGCGTTGTTGGTGGGACTGAAAGTTTCTCTATAGGAGCAAACTTTTCTATAAAGGTCCTGAGAGTAAATATTTTCTGCTTTGTGGGCCATTTGATTTCAGTAGCAACTACTTAGCTCTTTTGTTGTAGCACAAAAGCAACTAAGACAATACATAAATGAATGAACATGGATGTGCTCCAATAAAATTTGCTTACAAAAATAGGCAGCAGGCCAAATATAGCCCATGGGCCATGGTTTGCTGACTCTTGCCCTAATTTAAAGTCCTTCTCATCCTTCCAACCATCCATTCATATAACTATCCACCCATCCATCTATCTATTCAACCATCCAACCATCCAGCCAACTATCTATCCATCCAACCAACCACCACTGATGCTTTAGATAATTGTTTATCTTAAAAATATTAATTGGATATCTGTTATGTACAAGGAAGTATGGTCAGCTGCAGAAGATACAGCAAAGAGCCAAAGAGACAAGGTTCCTGACCTCATCAAAGTACATAGGTTAAAGGGGTAGGGGGGACATACACACATTAAATAAATAACCTTATCTGGGGGAAATAGTAATATCAATGTAAAACGGTGGATTACTAAATTCTGAAATGGTCCATGAGCCCCAGGACCTTGAAAGCCCAGCCAGTGGGGGGCTGAAGATAGATGCTGAAGCAGAACAAAATGCAAAGAGCATCCTCCCCATCTTCCCCAGCGAGGCAGATGGGCTATTGTGGTCATCACATAGTTGGTAAGCAGAAACACAGATTCCAGGGAAATGGTCTTGAGAAACACTAAACTTCCTCAAAAAGCCAAGAGAATGCTCAGATTGTCATATTTCTTCACAACAATTGCAACAGGCTTAGAGGAGAATCGTCTGCAATAAGCCCTGGCCCTCCACAGCCGGCCAAGGAGACCACTGGGGAGCCACTTTGTGTGCAGGCACCTAACAGAATGCACTGGAGACTCGTTCTGAGTCAGTACTGCTCGCCAGGCGTAGGCATGCAGTGGAGGGCAAGACCCACACTCTTGGCAATTGTTGGTGGAGCCCTGCTTACCTGGTGTATCCTCTTGACTTGCCCGTCTATGGACAGGTCATCCAGGGGAGAGCGGGTGGTACCCTCATGTCCTGGCATGTCCACGCAGATCAAATGCAGGTTCTTTGGAAGGAACTGAGGACACACAGGCCCGGAGAGTCAGTATGCGGCATGCAGACAATGTCGGCCCACTTTTCTGAGAAGGCTGCGCCTACTTACCAAGTAACCTAGATAGCCAACCCTGGGGACATATGGTCCTGGGCCACTCGGAGTTTTACCCTAGTAACATCTGATGGGAATAAGCACTGCCAGGCGCCTCCTAGGGAGCAGAGGCCCGGAGACTAATACATACATAGGTGAAGGGGACTCGGAGGATGACTGGAAAAGGGGGACAGAGGTGAAGGCAGCACGTCTGCATCTCTCACTTTTGACACCAGCTGACAGGTACTGCCTCCCTCCCCCCCCACCCCCTCGCCCCTTCCACACTTACTCCAGTCATTCAGCCACTGACTGGGAGCTAGAGGGTTGGTTTTGTTCTGCTAGAGCCCTGGCCAGCCCTGGAGCCCACAGGAGCAAGGCTTTCTTTAAGAACCATGTCTGATCACCCCGATTCTAGTTTCTTCCATTTAAATATGTGCCACTTTCCACCAGGAAACCGAGAAACATGGGTTATCAATAAACAAATACCCGACTACATGAAAGATGCTTATCTGAATTGGGGACAGGAAGGGAGAGGGTCGGGAAGGCATGAGGATGAGTGTCCTCACAGTGGAACGTGGAAATAAAAACACAAGTAACTAGAGGGTGTGTGGCCTTTTCACTCCTGGTGTGGGTCATCCTTGAGGTAGTCGGGTACAGTCCTGCCTGAGGTGGGAGCCTGGGTGCTTCCCTCCCAAGACCTCCCCAGCCCCAACCCACACCAGCTGGTCACGCCTGCCAAGTGAAGCAGGTTGCCACACAGGACAGAAAGTGAGCGATCTGGAGAACTATCCCAGGGAGTTGCCAAATCAAGATCATTTCTCTAAGTAGGTGAGGAAGAAAGGAAGAAAAGAAAGAGGGGGGGGGGGATGGAGGAGGGAGGGAGGAGGATGAGGAGGCATCAGGGAGAAATCGGGGGAGGAAGAGGGGACACGTGGAGTCTAAAAGAACAATGATTTTTTCAAAGCCTGATCTTGCCAGTGAGAGTTCTGAGATGAAGCTGCCAGAAACCTTTCCTAGGAACTACTCATGAGGTGAAATGATTTCTAAGGCACAGATTTTACAAACAACATTCAACTCAATGCATTTTGTCTGATAAAAGGATGTGAATCATAGATGACACTAGTGTTAAGATATCTGAGCCACAGTTCTGGGTTCCCTTTGCTCCCTCCCATCGCTGGGGACGGCATGTCCGAGGGGGAAACCCATTTCCCGGCCGCACCTTGACCAAGTGGAAACCCGTTCCCGGTCGCACCTTGACCAAGCTGAGCCACATGTCCTTGTGGGCGGAGAAGCCGTGGAGCAGGAGGACGGACGGCCTGTGCCCAGGCCGGCCGCGGAAGGAGTAACAGAACTGATAGTCTTCATGCTGGACATAGCGGACCTGCATGCCCAAGGCCCGCCGCCAGTACCTGGAAGGAAACACACAGGCCACGCCAAGATCAAGATCAGCACGCTCCGGAGCCGTGGCCGTGGGAGGGGCACAGGTCCTCACGACAGGCCCACCTCGAGGTCAGACCAACACTTCTCCTGCCCCTCCTCCTCCACATAACTCGCGTCCCCAGAGCTTCACCCTCAAGGAGAGCTAAGCGAAAGAATTCCAGAAAGTACCTCAAATGAATACGGTGGTAAGTATGTCACCACATAATCACTCTAAACCAGGAGGGGGAGGAGGGGTATTTTCTTAGGAAGCATGACACGAAATAACCTGTTTTGAACACATATTCCTAGCAGTTGAGTGGCAGTGCAAAGGAGGAGTCGGCAGTGGGATCTCCCTGGGTGTCTGACTAGCCCTCACTCTGCCTGGATTGTTTGAGCTTCTGCAGAATTGGAAATGGCTGGCGGTAAGACTGGGAAGGACACCGAAAAGGCCACGACCAAGCTGGTTTCCTCGCGCCGAGTCGGCTAGCAGTCTGGTGGGCCATATTCACCGACACCTGGAATCTGAAGCGAGCAGCCATGGACATGTGGGCAAGACTGCCGCTGTGTGCAGCACAGACATCCCGGAGTAAGTACAGCACTTCCCTGCAGAGGCCCTTTAATTGACAGGAAAAGCATCAAAAACTTCAAGGTAGTGTCTCTTGCAACGTGCTCTTCATGGAGATGAAGAATTGGACTCTCGCCCGGCTGGTGCGGATCAGTGGTCGAGCATTGACTTATGAACCAGGAGGTCACGGTTTGATTCCTGGTCAGGGCACATGCCCAGGTTGCGGGCTCCAACCCCACTAGGGGGCGTGCAGGAGGCAGTCTATCAATAATTCTCTCTCATCATTGATGTTTCTATCTCTCTCCCCCTCTCTTCCTCTCTGACATCAATACACACAAAAAAAAGAATTGGACTCTCATCAAGGCTGCAGTTGCTGGTGGTGGTATCATTCACACACCCACAAATCTCTGGGAAGAAGGAACACCAGACAATTGTCTCCAGGAGGCCTGCCTTTCTTCTGATCTCGGGACTAACTACTCTAACAGCTGTCCAGTGCTGGCGATTCTCTGTAAAAAACACAAACTTACCCATTTGTAAATCTAGTTGAGCAAGCTGGAGATTTAATTAGCGTTCCAACCAACCTAATTTCCTTCATTTGAGTCTTAGCCATAAAGTGTTACTGTAGCTTTAAAGTTGGTAAGGATTCTGAAGTAGTGGATTTTGATGGAGTTGACAGTTTTTTAAAAACTCTTTGGGTTTTAATTGTGATGCAGAAGTTATAACAAACATTTGGTTTTGTACAGACATTATTTCCACTCCAGCAGATAAGCTCAGTAAAGGTCACAATTTTAACTCTCCCCAGAAAATAAGAACATATTTTTTATACAGATTTTGAGAGTGAGAACTTTTTTTTTAAAAGAACTATCTGCATTAGTCCTCTGAGTTTATTCGCTACAACATATGGCAGCTGGTTGAAAGCTCAGCTTCTGTTCGTTACATAAGACTTGGCAGTGCTGGAGTTTGGCCTGAAATTGATTTCAATACGAAATTACCATCTAAACACATTGAACTTTCTGCACGAAGAATCTCTCCAAGATGAGAGGCAATTAATTCAATCAGAGATTCACTTTGTGGTGTACTTTGCACCAAAGAGATAGCCAAGTCTTGCAAAAGCAAATAGCCCAAGTTGACTGGTTTTTAACCCTTTATGTAAAAGAAGGGGAGGGAAGATGAGAACATAAATTCATATTTATTTCGAGCTGCATCCCAAAAGCATAGGAACAAAAACAAGACACTATTAAGGTGAGCATCTGGAGTGGAGATGGGCAATACAGTGAGAAGTAGATGGGGAGGCAACAGAGGTGGGAAGGAGCCTTATCTCTTTCTTTTTAGTACTTTTGCAAATGAATGTATTGCCTATTCAAAACATTAAAAATAGAATGAAATTGGCTAGTTTAAAGCTCTTCTTATAACAAAGCAAGCTTATTTCAAAATTCTAAATCGTGCACCACAATACAAATTTGTTCGTTCATTCATATGCCACCTCATTCATTTATTGACTATATGATCTTGAATCTCGTCTATCTATAATGAGGGGGAAATGTCTCATTCTACTGCGGATATGGTAAAGATTAAATGAGATAATCCATATACAAAGTTTTGTTTGATTCTCAATATATGCTAAGTATTCAATAAATGGTAGTAATTAGTATTAAATAAAAAAGATTATATTCTTGTAAATATATCACTTGCCAAAACTCAAGGGGAAAATTTGCAACACATATGAGGGCCACAGATTCATTTAACATATAAAAAGCTTACAAAATGATAAGACCCAGGGCTAAGACCCCAACTCAACAATGAACAAAATAAACAAAAATACTATTCAAAGCAGAAGAGAATTAAGGACTAACAAATATAGGAAACATGTTCAATTTCACTAATACTTAAAGAAATGAATATTACAACAAGACATACCTTTTTAATAATCTAAATTAGAAAAATGCCTTTAAAATAAAAAAACAGCTCTGGCCAGTGTGGCTCAGTTGTCCTGTGCACCGAAAGGTTTCAAGTTCAATTCCTTGCCTAGGGTTTGATCCCTAGTAGGGGAGGCAACACGATCCATGTTTCTCTTGTACATTGATCTCTCTCTCTCTCTCTCTCTCTCTCTCGTCCTTCCCCTCTCTCTAAAACCAGTAAAACATATCTTAGTTGAGGATTAAAAAAACACCCAATTATATGTTCAACCTTTCTAGGAAGCAGCCTGGAATTAAGCATCAGGGGTCTGTAAAAACCTCATGCCTTTTGACCCAGTAATTATACTTCCAGGAATAATCTGTTCCAAGGAAATAAGCAGAAATCTCAAAAAAAAAAAAAAATTCTAAAGATGTCCAACAGTGTTATTTCAATTAGAAAAAAAAAATCTGCGCTAATCTTTATGCCCATAAACAGAAAATTTATTACATAAATTACAATGTATCCAGATGATGTAATATGTTGCTGTTTAAAAAAAATGAGGTCTTCAAAGACTAATAACAGGAAAATGTTTATGACATGATATCAAATGAAAACATAGGACTAAATATTTTTATACTATTGATTCCAATTCTGTCAAAAATTTTTAAACTGTATACAGATGAAGTGGGGAAACAGGTGGTAAGAACAAAAGAGGTGTTGAAGAAAATGACTGGGGGTGATGGATAATTTATATTTTCTGTTACCTTTTTATAACCTTCCACTCCTCTATAACTCTAACACAGAGTATGAGATCAAGGGAGAGCTGGAAGGACCTTGCAGAAATGGTGATGTTGCTTCAGCATCTGGATACTCAACACCTATTGGTTCAGCGGTAGACAACGCAGCAAGGTGTGCACAGCACAGACAGGGCATGGGAAGACCAAGCATGACAGATCCTGAGTGAAGGGAGATGGGGCTGGAAGGGCAGCCTGGGAGCTGGGCTCAGGGCACGAGGAACCCTCCATTACCAGGTGGGTACTGGTCCAGGGATCTCATTTAATTCCTACATCCCTGGAAAACCTCACCTAGGCTTTGGAAATAGGAGCTTGAGAACCAATATTTTCAGTAACTTCAAATGCTCCTCTCAATGGAAGAGTAGGAAGAAGACTCCTTAAACTACCAGGTCAGTTAAAAATTATGAAAGGAAAACAAACAAACCCAACTTTCTTTGGTTTAAGAATAACAGAGAATAAATTACCTCTAAATGATAAACTTTACAAAGGCAGAACTTAGAAATAACTGCAAGTGGCCTGGCCGGTGTGGCTCAGTGGTTGAGCATCGACCTATGACCCAGGAGGTCAGGGTCGATTCCTGGTCAGGGCACATGCCCGGGTTGCAGGCTTGGTCCCCAGTGTGGGGCGCGCAGGAAGCAGCCAATCAGTCACTGATGTTTCTATCTCTCTCTCCCACTTCCTTCCTCTCTGAAATCAATAAAAATATATTTAAAAAAATAACTGCAAGCGTACAGGACAGAAACAAAGGAAAGAATTAAACTGGAATAAACAAATGTCTCAGGAACAAGATCTTTCCCAGATGAACAATCTTGGTACAAAAGCCGAACTGCTCCTGTTTCAGGGACAGACATCACTGAAGCCCTTCAAAAGCAGCCTCCATGGGGTTCCTTCTTTGAGAAAGGTGCCCAGGGTCCAGACCTTTATTTCACGAGTGCTGCCTTCTCTAGTTTACAGGATCTTCTGAAGACAAGTATTTCTACAGTACATTTCTTTTTTTATTATTGTGGTAAAATATAGATAACATACAATTTACCATCCTAACCATTTTAAGTGTACAATTCAATGCATTAAGGACATGCACAATACTGTACATCAACCATCACAACTATCCATTTACAGAATTTCCTGTCATCCCAAAGAGGAATTCTGTATCCTTTAAACCAGTGGTTCTCAACCTTCCTAATGCCGCGACCCTTTAATACAGTTCCTCATGTTGTGGTGACCCCCAATTTCATTGTTACAAATTGAACATAATTAAAGCATAGTGATGAATCACAAAAACAGTATGTAATTATATATGTGTTTTCCAATGGTCTTAAGCGACCCCCGTGAAAGGGTCGTTCGACCCCCAAAGGGGTTGTGACCCACCGGTTGAGAACCACTGCTTTAAACAAAAACTCCACATTCCTGCCCTGGCCGATTTGGCTCAGTGGATAGAGTGTTGGCCTGTAGACTGAAGGGTCCCAGGTTCGATTCTGGTCAAGGGCACATGCGTGGGTTGTGGGCTCGATCCCCAGTGTGGGGTGTGCAGAAGGCAGCCAATCGATGATTCTCTCTCATCATTGATGTTTCTATCTCTCTCTCCCCCTCTCTCTGAAATCAATAAAAATATGTTAAAAAATAAAATAAAAACAAAACAAAAACTCCACATTCCTTCCTGTCCCTGAGCCCCTGGTCATCTCTATTCTACTTTCTGTGTCTGAGTCTGCCCAGTCTAGGTATCTCACTCATATAAGTAGAATCATATAATCTTTGTCATTTTATGCCTGGCTTACTTCACTTAGCATAATGTTTTCAAATTATCCACAGTATAGAATGTGTCAGTACTTTATTCCTTTTTAAGGTGAAATAATACTCCATTCTATGGATATGCCACATTTATTTATCATTCATCAGTTGATGGACATGGGTTGTTTCTACCTTTTGGCTATTGTGAATAATGCCCCAAGCTTTTGTGTGGACATGCTTTCAGATCTCTTGGGTAAATACCTAGGAGTGGAATTGCAGGGCCATTTAGTAGCTTTAAAAAAAAAAAAAAAAGAACCAAAATCAACAACAAAAAAAAAATCTTTTGAGGACCCACCAGACTTTTCCAAAGCGGCTGCACCATGTTGCATTCCCACTAGGAGTATATGAGGGGTCCAATTTCTCCACATCCTTCATTGTTATTTTTTAGAGAAACTTTTACCTAAAGTACAAGTCATACAGAAAAATGCACAAATTGTAAGTGTGCCCGGAGCGTGGCCACTCGTTTCCACAGGGCTGTGGGCTGTGACTGCTCCCGCAGGCGGCACCAAACGCTTCGCCGTGAGCTACCAGGGCCACCACCGGAGGTGCCGTGACCACAACAGAGGGCATCTGACTCTAAAAAGCCCTCCCGGCGACCCAAGGAACCTGGGGGCTGCGGACGGTGTGGCACAGAGCTGGCTTCGCACGGATGCGGGGAATTAGCCTTCGTGTAATTACACCTCTGCTTGCAGCTGTAGCCATGGTGACGGGCCACAGCACTGAATTGTATTTTCCATTTCAATTTGATTTGTTTAAGAAAAATAGCATTTGTGTGTGGAGTCCACGGAGCCTCTGTGGGGCACGTGGGGCACACACTCTGGCCTCTCCATGTCAGGCTACACGGGATCCCGGGCCCAAAGCACGCCTGCTGCTAGGGCTGCAAGGACGATGGCATTTCAACAGCTGGCGTCTCGGCTTCGTCAGCGCAGAGGTCCTGGGTGAGCCTCTGAAAGGGTCACCACCTCCCAAGAGTGAGGGAGTAAAAAAAAACAAAAAAGCTCCCTCCTGTTCAAGCAGCTTCTTTTCAAGGGTCAGAGCCTGGCTGGCAGGTGGAAAATTCCACACTCCAATGAAACAAAAGGGAGCCAGAAAGGAGGGCAGATACAGGGCACATGCCAACCCCTGCACTCCTCTCTGTGTGCACAGAAGGCAGTTCTAACTCCCAGAAGCCCCGGTGAAATCTCAGGGCGCTTCCCGACGGCACCGGGAGGAACCTGGCCTATCTTGGTATTTCCTTCACCAGGGGACGCATACCACGCGGTGGGAAGGGTGCTTTCATTTGGTAAATGGACTGTGGCTTGGAAAGTCCCTGAAGCACATCTTGGGAAAGCTACTCCCTTCTCAACAGCTGAGCTTCTGATTCCCTGGAGGAGAACGGCTCTGCTGGGGCTGCGCGTCTTTCACACCCGCTTAGCCTTTCACCAGAGAGAAAGGAGGCACCGCCTTCGGGGGCAGCACTCTGTAGGCCGGCCGTGTTGAATGGTATTCTGCTTATTTTTACTGTCTTATATTAATTGACTATGGATGGCAAGCTTTCCACTTAAGGAGGTGATATTTATATTGGTATTGCTCTTAAAATAAACTGATTTAACCTACAAAAGTGACTTACTCTAAAGAGAATGTCAAGGCAGAGGCGGTAGTGTGCCGATAGGGCAAGCAACCACGAAGGCGGTACGAGAATGACATGATTGGAAACGTCTTTTTCTTTCTGCCACTTTAGGAATGAACACTTCTAGCACAAATCTGAAGCCATTCTGTCCCACCCACATGCCTTCTCCAGGTCCTGCTCTTCCTAATTCATTTATCAGTGCACATCACCGCACCTGTCAGAAACCACTGGATCGAAACCCAAGGACCAAGAACCTGCCATCGGGATCCCCACCAATGCGCACAATCCTTGCTAAAAGAATCGGTGACTTTGGGAGTGAGGATGGCCTCCTGGGCAGAGATGCCATCAGAAGCCCGAAAGAAGTTACCTGGCAGGAAGCTACCACCAATCATTCCGGAACACTCCCAACATTCAAAGCAGGACATCCTTCAGCTTTTCTATATGCTTGAAATATTTCATGGTACAATGCTGAACAACCAAAAGGACAAGCAGAGAAGATGACACTGTTTTGGTTCCCCTGAAGACTTCAATTACAGAGTTAACTCACCAGTAATAGATTCTTATCAGCGCCGAAGGCCACAGGAGAAAGGAGGCCACAAATGCCAGGATGGGGATGGCCAGCGTCCCGCCCGCGATCACGAACATATTGACCACGTCAAGGTCCATCCTGCTCTTCGAGGCTGGCTGGTGCCTGCGGGGCTGAGAGAGTGACGGGAGTGAAACTCTGTCGCAAGAGAAGGGGGAAGAAGCAGAGGGGAAAAGAGAAGTGAAGGACCCCAGAATGAGGACAAGGATGAGGAGGAAGCAAAGGCAGGTAATGGCTTAAAAAAACTCAACAGGCATGACCTCTACATGTAATGAAGGATCCCCGAGAGGATCCGAATGGTATTTTAAGCTGTAAAGAAAACGCTTAGGACTACTGGGGAAATCTAAGTAAGGACTGAATAGTAGATAATATTATTGTGTTGGTGATACAGTTCTGGAGTGTGAGGTGAAATTGTGGTTATCTTTGCACGTAGGAGAATGTCCTTGTTCTTAGGCGATGTATGCTGAAGTATGCAGGGGACAAGCATAGTGATATCTACTACTCACTCTTAAAAGTTGAGGAGAAAAATATATAATGTGTGTGCATGTTGGTGGGGAGAGAAATAAAGCAAATATGTTGAAATGTTAACCATTGGTGAATCCAGGTGAAGGTTAAGTGGTAACCTTCAACTTTTCTATAGGTTTAAAAATGTCTATAGCAATTATTAAAAATTAAGTTACGGAGGACAGAGGACCTTAAAGGAATGAAAAAATATACGTGTACACTTTTCCAGCAAGCTTAAGTCATCGGTCTACTACATGAGAATTTCCATCCAATCATCGCTTTTGTCTTTTCCTACTCTGGTGACTTTTGAAACGTGTCCAAAATCATGCCAGCAATTAAAGAGTAGGATGTGGCTTGCCCCAACAAGAATCTTGTATCCCAGAACATAACACAGTACCTGGCAAGTATCTGTTGCTTGATAATGCTCATTGCCTGAATAGATCGAAAAGGAAAAATGCACTCACTTTGCATATCTGCTGTGTGAAGTGAGGCACTTCAATGTTAAAGACAATGCAGCACTCGGTAAAGCCAGCTGATGTCAGGAAAACCAGCTGGCCATCATGGCACCCGGGAGAGTAACACACGCTCACATCCCAGGCTGGAGCCTGCTCTGGCCTCCTCCTGTTAATATCCAGGCTGTGCATTCCAGGCCTTTATCTCTGAACACAGGGACAAAGGTTCCTTGGGTAGAGGATACGGGCATCTCATGCTCCCAAGTTTAGTCTGGGGTGAGCGGTAGGGCATAACATGTCACAAATGTCTTTTCATGTTCTCAGATTTTAGGGCCTGGGGAACCCGAGTTCCAATACCTTAATCTTAGGGTACAAAGCAAAATTCCAAGAATAAATAGAATATAAACACTTTCAAAGATACAAGAGCGATGACCTTCATCTGTTAACTACTGTATGCCAGACCCAGTGCAGGCAGTTCATATATACATCCTCTTATTCCATCCCTCCCCACATTATAAGGTAGGAAGCTTTTCTCCCGTCTTAAAGAAGTTGACAAGTGCCCCCACGGTCATCCTGCAGGTACATGGCATGCCCTGCATTTCAACCCAATCCTGCAGGTGTCCCTGGCTCATGCCACCTTTGCCCCCTCTCTGAGCTGGCTGCAAGCAGATACTTATTTTGCATCCATTATGCACAAGGCACCAAGGTCAGTGTCCCCACCACCATGCTTCACACTCCTCTAGAACTGCTTTAAAAGCAAGTAACCAATGACCTGGTGACCTGATTCCTGCTGGTGTCTTTTTAAAACTAGCCAGTGCTGCTTATAATTTTTTCCTTTGATTCTGCAATATGAAAATTCTTTCCACACTGCTTTCCACTAGATAAACATGACATCATTCTTCTTCTCCTCCTCCTCCTCCTCCTTCCTCTTCCTCTTCTTATTTTTTTTTTCTTGTGAATTTGTTTTTGTGGGATGTAGCGGATGGGTCAGCGGGCGGTTCTATGCCACCAGGGTGCTGTACACTCTACTCTTCCCGGGATAACTTTTGGAGCCTTTTCTGTTCCTTGGAGGCTGCTGCTCTTGCTACAGCAGCCTCTTCAGGCCCACGGCTGAGTGCCTCCCCTTTCAAAGAGCATTTCCACTTTTTCTTGGGGACTCTCCTAGTTCCTGCCTCTTCAGGGTCACGGACTGGTTCCTCTTTGGGGAATGATGTCTCCCTCTGGGAAGACTTCCACTGCCAGCTGTCTCCTCAAGGTCCCTACCAACCAGCGCCTCCTCTTTCTTGGGTTTAGATAAAGAGACAGGCGGGTCTCCCAGCCCATTCGCCCGAGGAGCCCCCTCGAGCTTTTGCTTCTTTTTGGGTTTTCATGTGTCTGGGGTGTTACCGCTGTTAGGGAGATACTACCTTCTTGAAATCTGAGTATAATATCCAGCTATTAAGTGCCATTGCATTTACCCAACCCTGGTTTCTGAAACTAGGTTCTTATTCCTCAAAACTATCACTAGTGATCAACAGTTGGGGGTGTGCAGGAGGCAGCCGATAGATGTTTCTCTCTCATTGATGTTTCTATCTCTCTATCCCTCTCCCTTCCTCTCTCTATAAAATCAATTTAAAAAAAAGATTTTAAGGTTATACTGATTTAATTTTTGGCGCTTTGCCTCTATGTCCCAGTTAAAGTAAAATATATTCTCATTAATGTAGATGGAGACTGAGGTTGTATATTGACGGCTGAATTTTGGCATAGTGGCTGTACCCTATCAATAAAGGCTGTAAATGTTGTGTAAAAAACTTGCGCTGTTTAATGTGCGACTATTTAAATTAAAGTGAATTAAATACAACTCAAAGTTCAGTTCTTCAGCCACACCATCCCATTTTATGGGCTTGAAAGCCACATGTGAACAGGAGCTGCCCTGCGGACCAGCACAGCTTAGGGCTCTCCACTCCTGAAAGCCTCTTACAACCCATTCCTTATGCCCCTGGGATTCCACATTCACGAGGAATGTTGGGTGGGAGGGAAATCCCCGCCAGTGTGAGTCAGACAGACCACACGCGGCTCCCTCAGCCACCAGTTGGGCCCAGGTCCTCACTCGTGGCTCCCATTCCTGTCCCGGGTGCTCTCTCACAGCCCAGCTCTGCCAGAGGCACCTCGCAGTTCCCTCCAGGGATCAGCCTGCCCTGGCGAGCTCTAAAGCTCCACAGGACCCCAGCTCTACCTCCAACGCTGAGCTCCACAGCTCCACCCGCATCCCAGATAACCAACCTGCCCCTGCAAGCCCCACATTGTCTTGCCTCGCGTGTCCCCTTCATGAGCACACTCACGTCCCGGCTGCCCGATGAACTCCTCTCTGCCTTCGTGGCTGATTCCAGCGTCACGCTGCCCAGGAAAACATCCTGGTCCCCACAGGCCCAGGACTTCAGCCTCCCTTCCAAGTCAGAGCCCTCCTCCTGGCAAAGTCTCTGCGAACTGCTTGTAGGAGGTTCTGGGTGCATATCTGAGCTCTGAAAACCTCCAGGTGCCCACACCCTTCCCGCCAGTCCTTCTGAAATCACCCACCAGAGGGTGGTTTCCAGGGAGCTTACAGAGGAGTCCCAGGCTCCTCACTAACTGCCCCCCCCCACTTTTAATCTATGGTTTAAAAAAGCCATACTCACTGTTCAAGGAGCACAGTCTTCTTTCCCAACGGCTGCTGGCTCTGGTAGAAGATGAAAATGAGATTCTGAAATTACAAAAAGCGAAAGCAAGGACGCGTTAGGAAATAGGAACTAAGTGATAACAGCCAGCAAACTGCTGGCTTTGCGGGAGGCGCAGAGCTCTCCTCGAGGCACAGGCCAAGTACAAATGCCCGGTGGCTTTATAGTCGCCTCCGTCCAAGTCGCCTCCCCCAGTTGAGCAACCCGCACAAAGGGCAGGGCGTGCCAGGTCCCGGGAGGGCAAGAAGGAGGTCAAAGACCAGCTGAGGTGAGAAGAGAAGCATGGGAGTGAGAGGAGGAACCTGATTGTCTATTGGAGGATCAACTTAACTGAGACCCTCCAATAAAAACTAAAACTCTCCTTCTCCATTGGGGAACAGGGTTTACCTAAAAGCTGTCCTCGGAAAGAAATGAGAGGAAGGTGGCAACACCGTGCACATGGGAATACTATTTCTACTAGAGCAGCGGCTCTCAACCTGTGGGTCGCGACCCCTGTGGGGGTTGAACGACCCTTTCACAGGGGTTGCCTAAGACCATCGGAAAACACATATATAATTACATATTGTTTTTGTGATTCATCACTATGCTTTAATTATGTTCAATTTGTAACAGTGAAATTGGGGGTCACCACAACATGAGGAACTGTATTAAAGGGTCGCGGCATTAGGAAGGTTGAGAACCACTGCCCTAGAGTAACTAGCTCCGATTCAGGGCTAGACAGAGCACGGGAGCTGGGAAGGGCACCGCAGTAGGAGAACGGAGGGAAGGGCAAGGGAGGGCCAATGCACAAACCCCGAATTATTTCAGAATATGGTGGGCAGTTAGACAGACATGAGCAGGGCGAGGACAAAGGGCCAGGGACAGAAAGTCACCAGGGCGGGAAGCCCCAAGTGCCTAGCAAGCACCTAGCCATGGACAATCTGTAGGGTGGGACCTCGTCCCCAGGCGACCTTTCCTCCCCGTGCATCCTGACGTGGTGTAGACCCCCCGACCTTTCCTCCCTCTGCATGACATCCAGGCCTCAGTTGTGTTTTAGTTCCAGGCCCAGAGAAGCAGCAAAACCAGACAAGCAACACCATGGCTGACCTCAGGACCCGCTGCATTGAATACTGACCCCCTGCCCTGGCTCTGGCCCCTTAGTGGAGACCATGATGCCTGGAAGCTGATGAATATTCTATTGGATTCTAACCTGGGTCCCCCCCTAAGATCTCCACCATTAAAAGCGTTTTGATGGAGGACCCATGCCCGAACCTATCCCCACCCCCTTACCATTACCTCCCTCACTCCCAAGCTCCGAGGGCCCTTCTTCTGCCTCTGTAACTCACTGACCCGTTTCCTCTACCACTCACTTCTTTCCTCTGGAATTTTCTAAATACATCGTTTGAGTCTTGGCTCTGATTCTTCCTAGCCAGAACTCAAGCAGGCTGGTCTAACAGCCGGGCTGTTCCTCCTGCCACCAACAAGAGGATCAAAGAGTTAAACATAAAAAAAACAAAACGATAAAAGTTCTGGAGGAAGATATGAGAACTCTTTTAAAATATCTTCATGGGCAAAGTCTTTCTAAGTAAAATATACAACCAGAGGCCATAACAAAAAGATGAATTAAGTTGACATCATAAACATTTTTTTTAAAATTAATTGTTTTTAGAGAGGAAGGGATACATACACACACGCAGAGAGAAACAATGTCTTCTACTTATGCATTCATTGGTTGATTCTTTTTATTTTTATTGATCTTTATAGAGAGAGGAAGGGAGAGGGAGAGAGAAACATCAATGTGAGAGCAAAACATTGATAGGCTGCCTCCTAAACGCCTCCTACTGGGGAATGAGCCCACAACCTGAGCATGTGCTCTGACCAGGAATCGAACCAACAACATTTTTGGTACATAGGACAAGAACGACCTATCCGGCCAGGGCATAACAATGTTATTCATTCATTCATTCATTCATTCATTCATTCATCCTTACCCCAGGATACGTTTATTGATTTCAGAGAGAGAGGAAGTTGAGAGAAAGAGAAACATTGATGTGAGAGAGAAACATCAATTGGTTGCCTCCCGTACGCACCCCAACTGGGGATCGAACCAAAACCTGGGTATGTACCCTGACCTGGGATGGAACCAGCAACCTTTTGGTGTTTGGGACGATGCTCCAACCAACTGAGTCACCCTGCCAGGGCATAAAAATGTTCTTAAATGGCCACATGGAAAGAAGTTAACTTTTGTTGATACATATCAGAGGCAACAGAGTAATTTCCTTAATGTACAAAGGGCTCCTACACATCAATATAAATATCAATAAAATCTAACAGAAAAATGGGCAAATGATCTGAATAATTTATCAGGAAGTAATACAAATGACTCTTACAAATATAAAAAGATGCTCAATCACATTTAAAATAAGAGACATGTGCCCAGCTGGTGTGGCTCAGTGGTTGAGCACTGACCCATGAACTGAAAGGTCCCTGGTTCGATTCCCAGTCAGGGCACATGGTCAGGTTTCAGGCTTGGTCCCCAGCTGATCGATGTTTCTCTCTCATCAATGTTTCTATCTCTCTTCCTCTCCCTTTGTCTCAAAAAAACAACAACCAATAAAAACATATTTTAAGAGATATGCAAATTAAATCTATAAGGTAATGGTAATGTTTATTTATCACACTGGCAAATAGTTTAATAATAGACTATATTGCTGAGGCTGTGGGGAAATAGAGGCTCTCATACAATGTGCCAATTTACATTTCTATCAACAACTTTATAGATGGCAATTTGGCAAAATATGAAGCAATGTTGTATGCCCATACACTTGAGCTAACAATCTCACCTAAGAATTTATGTTTATAACTAACTGAACATGTCTGAAAACATGCCACATTATTTGTTACAGTATTATTTATTATGGCAAAAGATTGGAAATAATTCAAATGTCCACTTATAGGAAACCTATTAAGTAAATGAGGGTATAACTTTGTAAAGAAGTATAATGAATAGCCATTAAATACAAGTAAAATTAAATGTAAGCCATTAAAATAATGAGGCAGTTCTATTTGTCTCTATCAGTAATAACCTCCAAAGTACACTGTTAACTAAAAAAAGCAAGGAACAGAAGAGAGTAGATGGAATAACACCTCTTGCATTGAGCAAAAGAGAAAAAGAAGTACATACATTATGCTTGTATATGTGTGAACCGTTTCTGGATAGATGCACGAGAAACTGTCATCATGGCTGGCACTGGAAAGGGAAATGAGGGGCAAAGGGCAGAGATAAGAGGGACTTTTCACTGATGCCCTTTTGTTCCTTTTGGATCACTACCATGTGCATGTATGAGGCTTTCCCTGTGTAATTAAAAACTAAACTCCTAAAATAAAATGGTCTATCCTACATTGTCCAATACCCTAGCCCAGTGGTCGGCAAACTGCGGCTCGCGAGCCACATGCGGCTCTTTGGCCCCTTGAGTGTGGCCATGAAGTTTCAATCGCACTGTACGTGCGTGCCCGCACACACTCAAGGGGCCGCAGTTTGCCGACCACTGCCCTAGCCACTAAGCCACATGTGGCCGTTTAAATTTAAATTGATTAAAATTAAATAAAATTTAAAATTCCGTTTTCTGATGCCATTGCAATAACCTGGTTATTGTTTGACAGGAAGTGAGTAAAGGGGAAAGCGAGGTGATAGAGGCATGCCAGTTACACAGCTTCGCCAAAAAGCTGAATTTAACATGTCAAGGCTGTTCCCTGCTGACTGAGGGGGGGAGGGACTGGAGGGAGGCAGGGACACATGCCCACTGAGGTCTGAGTGATGTGGGACGGTGCTTTCCCATCAATCACACCTGAAGTCAAGCCAGTGGCCAGAATGGGCATGGTCACTCCAGCTCAGGAAACCTAAATATTTAAACGTCCAAACAACGAAAGTTCAGTGCGCTCTCTCTCTCTCTCTCTCTCTCTCTCTCTCTCTCACACACACACACCACACACACACGCGCGCGCGAGTGCTTCGGACTCCTGCTACAGGGGAACGCGCTCCCCGGTGCCCGCATGGCGCACACATGAACTAAGAGGCTTTCATTAGCTTGGACGCTGAAGCACACCCGGCGGCAACATGGTGCAGAGCCTCTGCACACTGGCCCTGCTTCTGGCTCTGCTGAGACCCCAGCTGCACCTTTGCCAGGACTGGCTTGAGGGGCAGGGGGCTTTGGAACCCAAGAAAGGTGACTCCATGCAAATAAAACCTGCTTCCACATCCCATCCTCCCATGCAATTCTTAGAATATTCATTTTCTGAAGATATCGCAAGAATGACACTCCCGCAAGTGACCGGGGAGTTTAATTCTCTAGCGCTGCCGAGGCTTCTGGCTGAGCGGCTCTCCCCCTGGGAGCACACTGACCACCAGGGGGCAGCTCTTGCATTGAGCGTCTGCCCCCTGGTGGTCAGTGCATGTCATTGTGACCAGACGTTCTGCTGTTCGGTCAATTTGCATATTAGCCTTTTATTATATAGGATTATATATAACAGGATATTATAAAAATTAAGTTACAAAATTTTTATTAAAACATTTCTTACATACCGTCATATTGGCTGGTCTGAAAAAACATTCGTTGTGGGCTGCATGTGGCCCACGGGTCGTGAGTTTGACATGCTTGATGTAGAACATTTTCATTATCACAAAAAGCTCTACTAGCCAGCTACAAAGGCCCATTAGAGAGAGCAACCAAACTTGTTTCTCAGGTTAAGAGAAGAAATACAAATTCAATGCTGAAAATCCCTCTCCCTCTACACAAACTAGACGGCCTGGCTGCCTACTAAGATAACAAAGCCTGTGAGCTCCTGCCCTGTGTGACTGTCCAAAGGTGAGGTCAGCTTGGCAGGGTCAAAGTCCAGCACTCTAACACAGAAAATGAAATATTTCCATGCAGGAACCTCACATGGTCCATAAACCAGAAATTCATAGCTCTTTTGTGGTTCTGGGAGAGGTGTTAATAAGAGGATTCGCTCTGGCATGCTTTGTACCAAAGCCCTAGCAACTGGGGGG